ATTAGTAGGAAGATAGTCGTGTGTTTTAACTAAACAGAATAGGTACCATAGTATTCAGCTAATTCTTCATCGTTCAACCATACGTCACAGTAAAAAAAAATGGCGACTACGGCAATCTACGAATTATTGAAACCTAGTATTTATTGGTTTGATGACGCGGCTTAAAGGTTTTGCATTTGTTTCAAGTTGTTCTCGTGAGCGCCTGGTTTTCCCATAGGTAGTTCGTTTCAGGCCCCAGAGATAAGTTCAGTTAAAGATAAAGAACTAGGCATTGTCGAGGTATACCTTGTGAGTTCTACACCCCCTAGTAACACGTGCAGATCAAGTGAGCAAAATCCGCTATAAATCCGGCATATGTATCCGGATTTTTCCAGTAGGATTCCATGATTGAATCCGCTTGTATTTGCAACTAGGTTCCTCTAGCAGGAGGTCCATATAAAGAACCAGATTTTAGTCATGATCCTTGCCCATTGTCGGCTGGTAAGTTGAATTAAATTGAAGCCTTCGTCATGGCCAACAGAAAACCAGCGTGCGAACGTTTCGAGATTTGGCACTGCAGTGCGAGCAGTATCAGCCGGCAGGTTAACCTCAACAATCATTACGATGGTCTACGCTTACGGATTACTGCACCCTACCCTTATCGATATATCGATGACCTCCATTCCAGCCGTTCAGAGTCGTTTTGATCCACGTTCCCCCTAGTAGCAAATCCAAGCGGATTCCATCATGAAATCCTACTGTAAAAATCCGGATACATATGCCAAATTTTGTCCACTTGATCTTCACGTGCTACTAGGGACGGTAGGGGTAATCGATGGGAAGTTGAGTTAGTTGACCGGATGGATGGATGGACGGTGTCTTCAATCGATCGAGTAATTACAGACCTAGACAAGAACACTAATTGTTGTTTATGGTGTATTTGCCATATTTAACCTGTGATGTCCTAACCATAGCTTGCGTGCCGAGGTTTGAATCCAAAGTGGTGGCCAAACGTTGCGAACTCGAGTGGCGTCAGCCGAAAAGGTGGTATCATGTTTTATGTGAGTGTGGTCTATGCTCATCGTGGGATGAAGATTGACACTTACGTCTCACGCGGTATGTGTTGGACGTGGTCATGTGAGATGTAAATGCTGGCGAGGAGAGATGTGGCAATGTGGTATAATCGGCGGTGTTACACCACAGGTTTTCATGGAGGCCTAATAGACTCATGCGGCGTGTGAATATGCGTGTCAGTGCGGACAGTTAAGACGGGTGCGGCGACTGTATGTCGGGGTTTCAGGCACAGGTTCTCCAGTGTCTGTGCGATGGATCCGCAAATGACTGACCAGGCCGACGCGCGATGTGAGGGTACGGAGCCAGTGAAGGCGCGAAAGACGCCGGGAGATACTAGGTCGAAAGGGTGAGTTCTGCATTCCCCATCTTAGCCCTTATTAGCTGTCCAGCCTAACAGCAAAAATGCGTAAGGGACAATTGTTGTGATAGTTAGTTGCATATCCCAGATATCGTTATATAAAACACTGTCAGCCTTGGCCTAGCGTAGTCGCCACTTCTCACAGGAAAGAACGCGATTCTGCCCGATTGTTTCATACGGCAAAAGTGTTTCCATTGCTCGTTGACGAGAAACTGAACAGGCTTCGGCATTTTTCATGGGCCAATGCTATGAGACGGTACGCGACGTCTTCTGGTGGCTCAAGGAGCCTCTGTGATCTTAAAATCGATGTTTAATGAAAAAACAAGAACTCAAGAGTGGGAAATGATAATCAAGGCTAGCCTGTTTTACAGCACGAAACTTAGCCTACACTGCCTGCATAATGAAGGTTGAGATGCTCAACAAATGGTGCCTTAAAAGCGTACGACAGCCTTCGTTTACAGACCACATCTCGAATGTGGGAGGTCGCTCTTGACGCCACCAGAACTGTCGTAATTCTGGAGTACAGAAAGTCGATGGGAACTATCATGTCGAATATATAAGAACTGTCAAAAGTCTTAGCCCTTATTACAGTACAAAAACAGACAAACAATATGACTGTCAAACTGCACGCGGGGCAAGAATTTTGCGGGAGCCCTCACCATAGAGCAAGTGGATGGAAGACTGTGGTAACACCAGGCGTCCGTTAAAGTACAGGTATATACCGACACCGCCGAAGAGGAGGGCTATCAGACCCCATGGCACAATAATAGCCCAGACTCTAAAAAGTAGAGAGCGTATAAGAAATCCGAAAAGCAAAAATCTATAAAGGTGAACAATTATTGGTTTGCAGGATGTCCAGTCCACAATAAGGCGGCCCACTGTTCCTCTGCTAGTCTTAGAGAGATCCATATTTCCACCACGAAAACCAGTTACTAAATCTCAAGTATAGCTTTAGAGATCAGCCTTTTGAAATTTCAGCGTTTTTGGGCTTTGTAGAGGCGTGCTAATAAAGTTCGATCTTATTTATGGAGCCAAAGTTATTTCTACATGGACTATGGGTTAGCGAACGAGGGGAGACTAAATTGGGAATAGATAATGCTACGTGATTTACAGAAAACAGGCTTGATTGCATCGTCCTCCTACAACTGCCGTGTTGATTTCAAGCTTAGTGCGCTGCTACTCAAAGAAATAAGAATTCATGAAAACTTAACGACTTCGAAATATAATTGATTAACATGTACCTGCAAGAAAACGCAAGACACTTACCTTGACGGCAAATAAGTCAGACCAATAAGAACGAGATATTCATGGGGAACATACGCCCAAATAATGTAACTTCCTAAAATAAAAAGTTACTAGTCAAACAGTATACTGATCAATTAAATAAAATTAAGAAGGCACGTAGTTAAAGCTTGAAGAGGTTTGTAAGAACACTGAGGTACTGAAGTGCGTCAATAGAAGGCAGGATAGACATAAGTGCATAAAAATTGAGTTAATCATGAAGTATTCAAAAACCTCAAAAATATGCGCTGCTTAACTGAAGGAAATGCGATTCGACTCCTAGTTTAAAGGAAACGTGTGCTTGATCAAGTATCAAATATTCAAACCAGGGCTAGGGGAAACATAATGATTCCTAGATCAACTATTTGTCTGGCCAAGTACACAACCTAAACAGTAGTGGTTAGCTGACAAGACATCAGTCAGACATTCACGAACGATGAACTCTACTACTGGTGGGCAACTAGCGTGTGGGTTAGTTCAGCAGACTTGCGTAGCACTGGCCACACTCACCCCCATACACGGTTATCGGACACAATGACTGATAAAACTAAGCAATTCATTCGCGCGTGCCAAATACGACCCGATCCGCGCACTATGGACTAGATCTTAATAGAAACAAGGGACGGCTTGGATCCCAGCTCGGTAGGAGTATTACAAAGGCCACATTCGCAGGGAGCCATTACAGCCCAATTAGTCATCCTGAGAAGACAGAGTTAAGCCGTCAGTTGGCAGTCTTTCAAGTCACGACTATCATCGCGTCTAGAGCGAGAAAGGTACTGAAGCGTCGTGTAAATGGAATATACAGAGTGGAGCTAACAATATTTTCCAACGACCGGTCTGCTGCTTGAGCCGGTCAGCCAAATGATGCTCGTGCGAGTGGCTGGCGGCGCGGGGGAGAGGGTAAGCTCGCGCCTAAACGTGTGAAGTTTGCGGATGCGCGGTCTAGGCGCAGCCCAGTTAACGCGTGCT